GGCCTCTCCCTCTTCCTGCGCCGCTCCCTGCACTGCGCCCCCGGCCTGTCCCTCTTCCTGCGCCGCTTCCCACACTGCGCCCCCAGCCTGTCCCTCTTCCTGCGCCGCTCCCTGCACTGCGCCCCCGGCCTGTCCCTCTTCCTGAGCCGCTTCCCGCACTGCGCCCCCGGCAGGGCCAGCTCTAGCAATTTTGCCGCCCCAAGAAAAATGATTGGCCTCTTACAATTGGTATGCGTACTTCCACCTTTTCATGTTCTCTGTATGTATAAATATCTTCTGTCTGTGTGTTCCATTCTATGCATCCAAAGAAGTGAGCTGTAGCCCACGAAAGCTTATGCTGAAATAAATTTGTTAGTCGCTAAGGTGCCACAAGTACTCCTGTTCTTTTAACTGTTTTTATGCCAGCGTGAGCCCCACACTGACAGCGAGGCCACCGTTTCTTGGCAGGAAAGGCGTTTGGCACCTGGGCCCAAATCCGCATCAGTATTTAGGCACCTTTGCGGTTCTGGGCCTTTCTGCCCCTCCACTCGCTCATCTGCACTAGTGGCACGTCCATTACAGGGCCGGTGTAGTGCCTCTGACTGGTTGGGATGAGGTTCCAGCTGTTACTGACACCAGGGATTGTATGTCTCTGGTTCGTGTGAAGAAGAGCGTGTCTCGTCCCCAGATTTACAGCCCGGGTTCTCTGCGTAAAGCAGGAATTTTCTGTGGATCGTCAGCTACGTTGATTCCTTAATGAGTTACCATTAATTAATAATGGGAGTGTTAAGAAATCTTGGTGGCCATCTTTCCCCTTTTCCGACTTTCTTTCGCCAGCAAGTGGCTGCTTTCCTATTCACGTTGTTCAAACTCTTGGTGCGCTCGTGATGAAAGTGCGCTTGCAGAAATGATGGCGCAATTAAGCAAACTGATTAGCGGTTGTTTACTGTCACTGGAAACCATTAAATTCAATTTTCCCTTACACAAAAGTGGCTGCAATTTCACATAATTTACATGAGGCCCAACGTTGTAGCTACTCAGGCTCTCAGTAGAAAGACAAGGTGGGTGGTGAGGTAAATTATCTTCTATTGGACCAACTTCTGTTGGTGAGAGAGACAAGCTTTCCAGCTTACTCAGCAGAGAGGGCTACTGGGGGCGAGTGCCCCCTAGTGGTTACTGTCTCCCATAATTTCCAATGGAGCTGAAGCCATTGGCAACCTCAGGGAAGATGGCTGCCACGTCTCTAAACTACTTATAAGGCCTCTACTTCCACAGTGTCTGTGCACCTCATAATCAGGGAGGGATGTCATTAGCCCCATTGTACAGATGGAGAACTGAGGCACACAGCAACTGCCCTAGATCACCCAGAAAGTCTGTGGCAGAGAAGTGACTGAAACCCAGGACGCCTGAGTCCCAGGCACAGGCCCTACCACTGGGCCATCCCACCTCTCCAGCTTCAACTCAGCCAACGTGTCAAAAGTGCGGGACACGGCTGACCTAGGGGTCACTGTTCTTTGCTGTATCTTGCACCAGCACTGACCGTGTTAACTGTAAACGCTTTTAAACGCTGTTTTCTCCATTTGTGAATTATACAGACGTTGGCGCTTTCGTTTGTTTGTTTTTAAGACAACGGGCAACCAGCAGGGTTTGAACCCTCAATCGTCACATCCCCCACACAGAGCTCTTGCATGTGAACTAAAGGGGTACACTTCAGGTGGAGCCCAGGGGGTCTGGTCCCACCATTTGCCAGCGGGTCACACAGGTATTTGATAGACAGCAGTAGAGTGCTGGGGCTCAGGGCCCCTGGGTTCCAGTCCTGGCTCTGTGTTCTCGTGGTTTGAAGTTACAGTGATTAAAGACAGCACAGCTGCTAGATCAAAGAGCCCTCTGGGTTCAGAAATCTCCTTCCCACATGAGTACTTACAGACCCTGATCAAATCACCTCTTAACCTTCTCTTATAGATTGAAATACTTGAGTCTCTCACCGTCAGGTTTTTCCAGACCTCAGATCATTCTTATGGCTACGCTCTGAACCCTTGCCAGTTTTTCAACACCCTTTTTGAAGTGTGGACAACCACTGGACACAGAATCCAGTAATGGTCCCACCGGTGGCACATCCAGAGGTAACATCACCTCCCTACTCCGCCCTGCATGTGCGGCACTTACCCTCTTAGCCAAAGCCTTGCCCGCCCCTAGCTTGGAAGGAGCATTCCCACGCTCCCCAAGGGAAGCCAGCCAGAGAGGCCTGCCCGGTCACGTCGCCCAGTGGGACTGGGCTGGCGTTTTTTGTGGAAGCCGCTGCGCTGTTTGTTCTCACACTGCCGCTGGACTCTGCCCTGTTTGTCTGACCCCATGCACAGCCGGGAGGGGCTGTGTTTGATGAGTCATGCTGTCCCAGGGCAGAGACCGGCCTCAGCTGGAGTGAAGAGAACATCCCACTGGAAGAGACCTGCTGGGTCACTGAATCCAGTCCCTGCCATCATAGGCAGCCCCATCATATCATCCCACTCATAAAGCTCCAGCTTCAAACCAGCCCCTCTCAGCCATCCTTTGCCTAGGCTAGCCGAGCTCTTCCAGTCTCCTCTCGTACGACAGGCCCTGCATTCCCCCGATCACCCTAGTAGCTCTTCTCTGCACCTGTTCCAGTTTGAATTCATCCTTCTTGAACACAGGTGACCAGACCAGCACACACTATTCCAGCTGAGGCCTTACCAGTGCCTTGTACAATGGCATGAATACTTCCCTATCTCTCCTGGAATTGCCTCTCCTCATACATCCTAGAACCGCCTGTCTCTGCAGTCAGGGTGTGGGAAGAAAGCCCTCAGTCTGTGGTCATGTGTGTCCGAAAGGCCACCCCAGGGATGCTGTCATCTCCCCTGAGGGGATGGCATGTGGGTGGCATGTTCCGTGTATTTGATATGTACTGACATGCGAGAAAACACCATTCTGAGCTCCCTGTGTGAGTAGTATGTGGGAGGCGTGTTGGAAGCATATGATCAGCATATGGGAGGTGAGTGGGCGGCGTTTGGGAGGTGCCTGGGTGGCATGCGAAGGCCGTGTAGGACATGTTTGGGCAACATGCCAGTGGTGTGTGGATGGTGTGTGGGAAGCGTGCGGATGGCATGTGGACAGCATGTGGGAGGCGTGTGGATGGCATGCTGCCTCTGAGCAAGTCGTGTGTGTGTGTGTGTGTGTGTGGAGAAGGGTTGTGTGCCCTGTCCCCGGCGGGGAGGCAGAGAGATGCAGTGACTGGGGCCCGGCCTGCCCTAGTGCGTCACTGGTACATGCTGGGCAGAAGGGTTGTGTGCCCATCATGTACAGGTCAGAACTCAGACTGCTGGCAGACTTGCTCAGAGGGGACGGGGGCAGCTGTTCGAGGCCAGCAGTGTGCTCCAAGAGCTACACCAGGGGTCCCGCTCCAGAAGGGGACTATTTTTAAATGCTATGGCCTGGTTGGAGCATTTGAGGAGACAGGTGAGAGGGGAAACTGAGGCAGCATACTGCGGCGCCACCCCAAGCTACAAGGAGGGGCTTGGAAGGCGAGCACCCAGCCACACTGTCCAAGTGGGGGATAAGGATGCCCCACCCGGGTCGTACGCTGCGGCATGCATTGACGACATTATCATCTCCAGGCAGAGCTAGGAAGACCACCTGAGGCACGTATCAGCCATACTACAAGCCCTTCAGGAGGCAGGGCTCACAGCCAACCCGACCAAATGCTGGCTGGCCCGGCGAGAGGTGACCTACTTGGGCTACCAAGTAGGAGTGGGGCGGTTGAGACGACTCATTGACAACATGCAGGCCCTGGCTCAGTGTGCCACCCCCATGACAAAACACCAGGTACGGCGCTTCCTCGGCCTCGGGGGCTACTACCAGCACTTCATACCCAACTTCGCTACCATCGCAGTGCCCTTGAGAGACCTGGCAAGGAACACCAACCCAAGGAAGGTCCCATGGTCGGTGACCTGCGAGAGGACCTCCCAGGACCTAAAGGAGCAGCTGAGCTGAGAACCCATGCTCACCCACCCTGACGTCACCAAGAAGTTTACATCCCAAACAGAGACCTCCGAGGTGGGCCTAGGCGCAGTGCTACCCCAAAACACTGATGGGGAAAAACACCCAGAGAGTGCCTCAGCAGGAAGTTGTTCCTCCGAGAAACCACCTACTTAGTCATCGAGAAGGAGGCCCTAGCAGTGAAATGGGCCATGGATGCTCTGAGGTGCTACTTGCGGGGGAATGAATGCCTTTCGGCAAGTGACCGACCATGTGCCGCTACAATGGCAGAACACCACGAAAGACACCAACCCCTGGATTATGCAGTGGTACCTCTCCCGGCAGCCGTACAGCTTTGAAAGCCTTCACCAGGTAGGGTAGGATCATGAAAACACAGATTTTTTTCTCAAGAGATTGTGGGCACAAGAACCACAGGACCATGCCCCAGCACCGATTCTGAGGGAGGGAGGTTTGACAAGGTGTATTAACCCCTCACTGGACAGGATGGGGTAAGGAGCAACTCTGGGCTCAGGAGGCCCCATTTCTCCTCCCATGCTGAGCATGCGCTGGTTGGAGGCAAGGTTTAAAAGGCAGCTGGACAGCTCGGTCAGGGCTAGGTAGGAAGTGACTCAGGGAAGTTGATGCACGGGACCGTGGGGTGAGCAAGAGCCTCCCAGGGCCCTGGGTCAGAACCCATGGAGTGGGAGGGCCCAGGTTCCCCTACCCCACCTGAGAACTGCACCCATAGGTGCAGCACTTCCCACTTGCTGCCCGTGAACTGAACCCACTAGGTGGGGTTTCAGCTGAGAACTGTACCCATTAGTCAGCGCTGCCCTCGAGAGCAGCATCTAGTAGGCAGAGCTGCCACCAGAGATGAGCCATCGGGTGTACCTGCCACCTTAGGCCCTAACTGCTAGGCAGGAGACGCTGCCTCCTGTCCACACCCCATAGTATGTGTCCATCTGCGGTGACAACCTCACATGACCACAGGGGAACCTCTTGGGACCCCACAGCTG